GTTTGCTTTCTAAAGTAATAGCTATGTTGGGGGAATTTAACGGTATGTTATGATAGAACATTGACAACTATAATATACAGCATAATATAATTGCAATATAATATAAACTGCATATGGGGAGAGAGTGGGAAGAGACATTTGGAAAACAGTCAAGGCCAGGAAGCAAACACACAACAAGGTGGTAACAAAGCTGTGAACAACTCCTCTACCACCACCAAGCAAATACATCATTTTAAAGCTATGCTTAGTGTGTCAGACAGGCTGTACTTTAGTTCATATTGTTGTATTGTTATTTAAGATGTTACTCAACACATGGTTTAAGTATCCAATATTGCTTCCATTATGATCTTGACTAATATTAAAAAGGAAAAATAGTTGTCTTTAGGGCAACAGGTGCAATACATTCCTACTGTTATTGCTTCCCGTTGTGAGGCTCAGAAAGGTTCACCTCTGCAGTCACACGGCTGTGGCAGCTCAGGAGATGCGAGGATCACTCTTTTTCCATCTCTCGACACCATGGTTTCTCTTTCAGTAATTTATTCATGGACCAGTGGCTACACACATTTCAGGGCATGGTGTCTGGCTCAGTTTAAGCAGCAAGGTGAGGCCTCTAAACAATGCCATTAATGTCTCTTGCTCTTATTTCCAGACTCTCTTGGATAAAAAAAAAAATTTAAATCTCTCTGTACAATTGCAGGTGTCAATGTACAAAAACAAGCTGTCTGCTCCTCTGGGTGTTTGGCAGATAGTACACTATTCCCAGGTGATTGGGTTGTACTCAGCAGACATCTTTACAAAATGCTAAATTATAGTGCAATTCAACTGCAGATCACTGTTGGATCGGCCTATATCAATCCATATCCTTCCTTCCTCAAAGTCCTAATTTTGGAATACATGCACTCTGAGCTGCTTATATTGTGCATCACAAATATTCTCATATTTTAGACATAGGAGCACTTCCACAAGAACTGCAGCTGCACCAATTATTAATAGTGACCTGCAGTTTTACAAGCCTGAACATTATTGTGCCCTCCTGATGTGGCTGTAGAAATGAGGCCCTGGCACTGTGAGCTTTGGTCATCATCACATCCACAGTGCACAGCAGAGAGATGTATGACTGGAGCCAGAGCCAGCCTCTATAAACCTGTTCATGAACCCAGTAAATCCAATGAAAGTTGGTTACTGCTAGACTGTTGACTATAAGTTTTTTTAAACTACTAGTTGTTATCCATTCATGTTGCCAAAAACATACCAAGTGACACAAAATTTCTTGTCCTATTGTGATGCCAGGGCTGTCATTGACCCATGTTAGATGACATTTTGTTAGTGCATTCTCACTACTGGCTAAAGTCTGATAAAACATACAAGATTCATTCAATATTACCCATTTATTGCCATCTGAAACTACCATGAATCCCTGATCTTAGTTGAGACAACCCAGAGCAAACCTTGCATAATGACTAATGAGCAGTGGGAACCAGTCCAGCCCTTCTCCAGTCTTTAATTTCCACCTCAATACTGAGCGGAGCACGCCCCAGTCCTGCTGCTGCCTCATTACCATGTGCATTCTCCTCTTTCTGAACAGCAAGGACTTCCTCTGTCCAGGTGCGTCCCTCCCCAGGCCCTGTTCCTCCTCATGTTGCCACATGGTGAAGCCAATGAATTCAGTGTCTACTAAATTCAATGGAATTATTTAGACCTAACATAATTATTACTTACTGTATCTGATGCCAAGATACAAACAGTAAAGCCAATATTTATTTATTTTTAGCCTTACTCGTATTCAGTTGTGAAGATGGTGGAGAGCATAAATAAGTTCAAAAGAATTTCTTTCGAGGTCAATGTTAAGCTAACTGTTGCTCTACGTTTATTCAGTAAAATGAAGTAAAGAACAGATTATGTACCGGGTGTGTAGATTCAATCAAGCGTCCTTCTCTGGTAACTTTATCATTTTTGAACAATAAACACTTTCTCTTCCTGACTTTCTGACCTGTCTCACCTCTGTGGATGAGATACAAAGACTATTTCACGATATACAAGCTTGTATGTAGGATTGACTAGAATTAAATTCAGACATTTTTGCACTTTTACTTTCATGTCAGTCTTCCATAGATGAGTGGCAGTTTCCACTTTTAAAACCCTCTAAAATGATTTTCACATCATATTTCATCTAAGGGAGATTTTTTTCCCATGAACTCCATCCAAATGAAATAATCTGGGGAAAGGTCTCTTCAAACTGAGATGCTGAGCGCCAAAGGAAAATTGGTAAACACAACCCGCCCTGGCACTGTGAGATGTAAGGCCAGCCTCATGGCAGGTGACCTTATTTCCTCAGGGTGAATTGGCTGTCACAACCTGGAGTCTGCACAAGTGTTTAACGCCTGGAGTCTCACACCCAGTCTATACCTTAAAGAGAAATCAAACATCAAATAAAATACTGTACTTGCAAGTACAAGAGGAAAACATTTGGTTGAAAGAATGAAGATAAAATTTAAAGAACATTTTGTTCCCTGAATTAGTTTGGAAGGTAAAAAATGCAATTGATCTCCCATTATAGAGCTCAAAAGTAGGGGATTAAGGTCCTATACATTTCTTTTGCTGTATTTGACCTAAAGCAAAAAAGGTCATGTTATATTTTGTATTTGCTGTTAGATTGAGCTTTGGGTGGGAGAGCCCACACAGCTGTTGTGTTGTAGCACTGTCTAATTAACAGCCTATGACCGATGACCTGGGACAGGATATGATGCGTACCTACCTCTGGAGCTTTTCTAAACACTTGGGTGTGTTTTTCCTCTAGATCATTTTATGCTCTACCCATAGGTAAAAAGGAAAACATGTCAGCTTTTAGGCCCCTAAATCCTGCTATGAGTATTCATTTGTGGCCTTCCTGAACTTGTATTGTTATTGCTGGATTTAATTCAAATGCTGTCTTTACATAATGCCTGTTTTAAAAAGTAAAATGATAACTTTCAACATATATTTTAAATATTAATTCTTTCGTAAAGCTGTTTTCAAATATTTTCCCTTATCTCAAAGTCTATTCAAATTAATATAAATTTGACCGCTTCATACCCATGTGTTTGACCCATGTCATCTACCCTTCAGTCCACTGTCTCTTTGAGTCTCTCTTCTCTCAGCTGTTCCATGCCACCACTCCACTGGGATTGATACAATATTTTCCAGCCTCAATTAGCAGCAAGTGTGTTGACTAATTCCAACTGTTTTTGCACCTGAACGGGGAGTTGGAAAAAGTGAGTGGGGTGGAGGTGAAGGCCGGAGCAGGGTGTAGCAGACGGAGCTGTCGAGGCAATAGCTGTGCCCACAGAAGAAGAAGGGGGGATGCAAAGGGCAGGGGAGAGACGCCCCACTGCCGGCCAACAACCTCTCCAGGCACATATCTGTGACACATCAGGTCAAACCTACAGACTGTATGAGTCCCTATGACTGTATCATGTTACAGAATGGATATTTATAGAAATGACAAGATTTCATTTGGGAGACTCAGCTCTTTTGGCTCCACTAAAAGTCTAAACTATTTAACATATTTTTTAAGCTTTGACACATTTACTGATAGATCTAAATTCTTCAAGGTTGAGTAAATTCTTAAAATGAGATCGCATCCTCTTTTTTGTCTGGCTGATGGTGCACTCTTGTATCTATGTCAGTGTCATTAAATATGCAGAACGCACTTGTCCTCACTCTAATCGATCGCATGGCCAAAGTATCAGTGTCCAGAAGTGCTCTGGGTCAGGAAGCTTTAAGTCTGATTAAAAGCTGTTTTGACTGTGGAGAAACTCAGTCAAAATGCCAATCAAACTCAACCTTTGCTCTTGAGATGAGTAACACAAAGCACTCACATGCTCCACTTAGTCCAATTTAACTCAAATGCTCTCCAGCCAATGAGCAGCAGTAGTGCCCATAGGCCGGCAGCAGGTACACCCTGGCTATGTAAGAGCCCTGAAAGAATCGTTCTTGAGTTAAAGCAGAGTCAGACTCCAATTTTATAAAGGTAGTATTTTATAATGGTGGTTAACGTAAAAAGTAATATGGCTGAAGAGTTATTACTAATGTAAAACTAGGTAATACTTCAGAACTGGACTTTCTAAGTGTGTGGTTTTTTGGGTTGTGCCAGGTGGCTAACCCCAACAGGTTCAAAATGTCACCCAGCATGAAGCAGAGGCATGGGCTGTGCTGGATGCAGCAGCTGCCTCTAGTAGCAATATGGAAAAAACTCTGAGTCATACACTTTCATAAAAAGGCATTAACAACCAAAGATACATAAATATTACACTGGAGGGCATAACCGTTTCTATGGGCCATCCACTCAGTGAGTAATGGAGAGGGAGGTCAGCACATGACCACAGCCAGGCTCATTTCACTTGGGCCAATAAGGCACCCACTGATACACAGCAGAAAGCATGGCTGCTGTTAGAGAAACCTCTTCTCAGGTGTCTCTGAGTCAGATATATGCCAGGCATATGCCACAGGTTTGAATACACCCTTTTTATTAAGGTGACATAAAGTGATGGGCCAGTGCTCATGGGGTGGAGAAGTAAGTAAGATCAACTGATAATGATAATGATAATTTAAGGATGACAATGACAAATACATCTCCGTAGTGATGTCATTGACAAGAAGTGTCACTAAGTGACTTTAGTGTAGTTCTTAAAGTCACCTGATATTTGATGTACCTTTTTATGGTTTTAACAATTTAATCATGGAGAAACTGCAGCTTTTTACCAAGCATACTTTTGATCTGTTCAGTGTCTTTCCTCAGGTCAAGTATTCTAGTTAACTCTGCAAGTCTTCCCATGGGGACCCCTTGTCCACTGAAGGGTATTCCCTTTCTACCTAGCAATGTGTCTCACATGCTTCAAACACAACACAAATAACTCACCAGCCATACAATCTTAGGATACCCCTGTCCAAGCAATAAAGTGGACAGATAAGAACATCTCATAAAAGTAAAGTTGTACACTTGGCAACACACCAAAACTTACTGTCTGCGTAGTTTTTCCGCCGGGTGCCATCCACTTTGCCCGTTTTATCAATGCAGAGGAAGAACTTGTTGGCAGAGTAAAGCCGCCGCAGTCGAACATCCCCCTCCAGGTGATTGTAGCTGCGAGTGTGCCTTTCCAAAGTCCATGAACAGTTGATTGCTGTGGCGAGCCCCTGGACGGACTCATGCCGAACCCCGGGAGGACAGGCCCCTGTGGCAGTGCCAGCGCTGAGCACAAGCAGGGTGAGGCATGCCAGGCAAAGGGAGGCTGCACTGGGCAGGGGGCTGAGCTGCCCACTGGAGGGGCCAGCTGCTGTGCTGAGGGCAGGTTCAGGACTAAAGTGGGCTGCGGATGTAGTCCATCTGCACATGGTGGGTCAGACTCCCAATGTGCACCCTGGGGCTGCCAGCATGCTGATGTCTCGGAGATGCCCTGTGAGGGGTAATCAAAACAGAGTGTGGGAAAAAAAAAAAAAAAGATGTTGCACGTCCTTTGGATGTTGGAGGCTTACAATGATGTCACGGTCATCCTAAACATCAGAAAATTCTCCTGGGTTCATCTTCCTCTTGATTTTTTTGCATCCTGATGTTGTAAGGTTCACTTCTGAAAGTTCCCCAAAAGTTCACCTTAGCCTCAAGTCGTCTCTTAGTCCAAGGATATGTTTCTGTCAGTGTGGATGCCCCAGTGTGCACCTTGCAATGCCTGGTCCCTTCCAGCTGGAGTGGAGGAAGGTGCGGGTGGGAGCTGCTGACCCGTAGCTGAGAGAGAGTTGAATGAGGGCTGGGTGTCTGGCTATGTGTGTGTGGAGGTGTATGATAGGAGAGAGTGCGCATGGGAGGGAGGGAGGGAGTCAGCGAGCATGGGGCAGTGAAGCAGCAAGTGCAGTCAGTCACTCTCTCTTCTGTGGGAGCACTGCCGGAGCTGTCCCGCATTTTATCCTGGGCAGGACCTGCATCTGGAGTGGAGCGGGGTGAGGAGGTGGGGCCATCCCACATTCATAACAATTCAAGACTGAATCAACTCAGCTCATTTTTATTCCTGTTACTCCAGATTTTTATGGACCCATTTATGCCCTTACACATTGTCCCTTTTTACCAAGCTTACATGCTTCATTAAATGTTCATTTTTCTAACACCTCTTTCTTAGCAGATGGGGTAAATCACGAAAGCTCCTTCAGAGGCTGCTGCTCGGCCATCAAGAGGTGGGAAATGCAGGTTGCACGAGTGTCAGCAGAGTTAATCCAGATGGCGCTAGCTGGACAGGCTTTCTGATCACCTGTGCTAATATTTCAGTGGAACACCCTCTCTGATCTCCACTCTTTCATTTGAAGGGAGCCAGGCGGAAATGAAGAACACCTTTTTAGAGACTTCCAACACTCTTGTCTGTATTTTACAAGCTGTGTAATGAAGCTGATTAGGAGGCATCAAAGAACCACCACGTCCTACCAAATTTAACACAAGATAAGTCAGTACAAAATAATGATGCATTTTTAGTCACGCGCCAAGAAAAAAACAAAACAATAAAAAGGTCTATGGTTACTTTCATTTGAACTTTTCAACATGATAGTTCCAGTAGTGTGTCTCTGACCCTGAGGCCACCAGCTAAGCCAAAGGTGTTCGGAGAACTACAAACTCAAAATGGGGCACAGTTGAGCTCACACTTTTGTGCTTGTTAAATGCCCCCTGAGGCACTGCCTGTCTGACACTGTTTCGCGAAAATCAGAAGATGACCTTTCATTCAAACTCACTGCCTTGTAAGCCCCTTTGTAGTGTTAAATTCTATAGCTGTGAAACGAACATGTGTTAAACATATTAAATTAAATCATTATTATACACTGGTCATGCATGAAAAATACAGACTATAAAAACAATTATCACAAATTGAAGTTTGAAAATGTGAGATCATTTTGTTTACTCTGAGAAGCTTACCTTGACACTCATCTAGCTGTATATGTAGATGCGTGCCATACTTATGTAACCACTAGGGTTTGCGGATATCTGCTGCGTTTTTCCTGATATCTATATTTCTTACTGCTTCTGTCTAAAATAGTAAATACTGATTAGAAAATGTTAGCATGGACCTTTTACCCCCAGGGATAACATTGGGCATTAAGGTATATGTTTTCAGTCAGGATTGGGTACTTTTTCATCCTTTCTATGGCCATAGATAGCTCCCAAACGGATAGGATGTAATCAAATAAATGAAATAAAAATAATATACCTTATTCATAATTTACATATTCGGTGAGCTCAATTTCCTATTTCACTTGTTGAGTAGCTGTCCCTAAACGAGCCAAACTCATTCAAGATGCTTAGGCATGTAGTAGTTCTGGAGTAATAGCTTTATATCAGATGCAGCAGGAGATTGTTGAGTGGTGCCTTATAATATGTTTTAATAATAATATTTGGGCTCTGACTTTAGGGCTGTGTCTTTATTGTTATGTTGTTATTCAGCATGTCTAAAAAAATTGTATTCTCTGATAGACTTTTGAGGTTAAGTGGGTGTGCCCGGAGCTATGGGCCACAGTGTCCAATCAGGATGCTCCCCAGTGTAGGAACCTAATGTTTCCCAGCAGGTTTCCAAGAGGCTCAGTAAGTGTATGAATAGAGATAATATCGCTATAATGAGGCCTGTTTTGTATCATCAAAGTCTTCAAAAGAGCTGAAACCTGACCTTCGCCTCAGCATCCACAATCCCCTGCTAATGGCTGCCTTTTATTAATTGTGTTTCTGCTTACTTACCATTGTATCTTTCTGTCTTTTACTTCCTTTTGCCCCAAAGACGTTTTGGCTTGTCCCCCGTGCCAATGAAAAGTGATATGATGCCCTCATAAAAGAAGTAGGAAGGATGCATATTTGAAAGCTGTTGATGTGACCTGTACTTAACAAGAGCTCAGGACATATCTAACATGGCACCTCACTAGGGGTGGACAGTACTGACACAAGACTGAATATCTCAAATTCAGTAATGTGTCAGACATATATCTTAAACCTCAACCACCCTTTTTCCCTATGGCTGAACTGTTTACAACTCAATGTTTTTAATCATCTCTTTTTGCAGATTTTTACTATATATGATAGAGTCAATACTCACATTTTACATATCTTCAAAACAACTTAAAAAGTAAATATTTTGTTTTGGGATTTTCTCAAGATGCAATATTATATAGTTGTTTATCTAAGCTTGAATACAAAAAGTTTGCAATCTTTTCTATGTGACAGAATGCAATTAGCCCTTTTTATAATTTTGTCAATTAACTGCGTGAGTATATAGTTCTTCTGATATCCACGTAAAAATACATGAATGTCACTCCTGAATATGATCTTTCAGGATCAATAAAGCATCTATCTAGCTATCCATTAATATTTTGGGTAGTAAACATCATGCCCAGATGCTAGGAAAATAGCTACAGCATTGGCTAGAAAAAAGGCTGCAGTTACAGTAGTGTTATTTAAATGCCAAGCTTTATTTGAACTCAGTATTGGTAAATTGAGATTATTATGCTGTTGGGACATGCTTGTAAATAAAATGACAGAACAACGACTCACTAATTGGAGCCATCTTAAAAGGTGTGGGAAGCTAAGTGACTCAGTGAAGTCCAGGAAAGGCCTGGGCATAAGTCTGCAGGCGGCTGTAATGTCTGCACTGGTGTAATTAGTACTAATGCACTGAAGTATCTGCAGTCCTTTAGCATTGATGTTTACTAAGAATGATGTAGACATCTTTAATACAGCCAATCCAGGTGTTCTTTTTGTCAGTTCCAAGTCTGAACAAATGAAGAGAATGCACAGATTAGGACAATAGAATTGTCACAATACTAACATTTAAAACTCAATTTTAATACTGTAAAAGGCTTAATACTAATCAAAAATGATAAACACTTTTTAGACAATAATGTCAACACAAAATATAAGCTTTTTTTCTACCTCTGATATTGATCAGCCAGTCTAAAACTAGTATTAAAAGATCCAAATTTGTGTGTGTGTGTGTGTGTGAAATTATACAGAGTGAACAAAACAACAAAAATGTCTCAACCATCACAGAACATTGAGAAAAGTTCAGCCTTCATGGAACTGGCCACAAATGACTTTTAAGTAATGTAAAGCCCCTTGCGAAAAGCATCTACCAAGTATTTCAGTGAAAAGTATCTCCATCAAGTATTCCTTGCCAGGTGAAGCCATTTGAAAAGCAGCCCTCTCTCCATCTGTTAAACAAATAGGGAGTCCCCTACAAAGGTGTGCAAAAGAATCCGGATGATCAAAGTGTATGAGAATGGCAGCCTTGTCGTGGCCTGGCCATTATCAGGCTCCATGAATGCCTGTCTTCTCCTCTTTTGTGCACGGAGGCATTGACAGTCACTCACCCGGCAATGACTGTCACACCAACGCTAAGAGCCAGCCGCCGACAGGGGCCAACCACATCAAACGGCAGTGTCGAGGGGCCCTGCTTGTGAACCGTGGCAACAAACACCTCCTGATCCTCACCTACAGCTCAGCAGCAGACACCTACCGCTGAGCTCCCGGCCTCTGCCTCCACTGAGAAAAGATGTACTGCCTGGACCTCATTTCCCTGTGCACCCCCCTCCATGCCTGCCACTCTGTCAAGTAGTGCTTGTGTTAACCTCCAGCCTGCCGAGACACAAAGGGCCACTAAAGTGTTTAAGAATGCTTTATGGATGCATGGATGCAAGGGGAGGCTGACGCTGCTGGGGGTCAAAAAGTATACAGGATATGAATAAGATAAATTTAGTGTAACTCCTGGCTAGAACCAAAGTCACACTTGATTTTAAACTGTATGATCTTTGAACTTCAAAGCTGTCGGGGTGAATAGAAGGACTAATGACTTTCAGGGGGCATTCAAAGAGTTGGTCCAAATGGGGTCTTACCTTTGCAAATGTATGAAACTACTGTAAACAATGTCAATGTCAATTAGGACTGTTACTTCAGATTCACAGTTTATTATTAGTCATTGTTTATTGTCATTTATTATCAGTTCTTTTATTATTAGTCCTTTATTTTCACTAAAACAATGCATTTTTCTATCAAGATAAACACATTTTTAATGAATACTCAAAAATTTACAACAGAAATGTATTTGGTATATTCCATAACATAGGCCTACACAGTTAAAAGGCTAAGTTGTTAGTTCTTGCAGGACTTACAGGCTAAAAAAAGAGAACACGATTGTAACATACAGTTGCTTGTAGAAGATAACATTCAAATCACCTGCTGCTTGAAGTTTCAGCTCAACCTCCTCTTCGTTGATCATAGTGAGACTGCCACCTATGGGTTAAAATGTCAAATGTAAATCAATTGAATATGTAAAAAACATTAAATCCATAAAACGAAAAATCCATGAACGAAATACTATAGTTTAATATGAATTATATTATATAAGTCCTACATATGATCGATAGGTTAACCGCTGTCCCATCAGGTTGTTCTGCAACTATTCGACCCCTGTCCCTTGTCCCACTATGGTCCCACGTACCCCATGCATGCTATAAAATGGTCAAATTTACGTAATAACCAGACAACTAAAATCCTAGCAAGCAATATCGGGGCATTCTAACTTCTGACTTGTAATGTTGTGTGGTCTGCTATTCCATCCAAACAGAAAATTACATGGATAGCAATTTTTTATCCTTAAACTCCATCGTGTGTCCTACTTGTAGTCCCATTTTTATCATTTGAGGTGGCGTTTTCAACTGATTATAATATAATAATCATGCAGTAGTATTTGATAAATGTTTAAATATTTTCTGTGGCATATATAGCCTATAACATCGTAATTTTCCTACTGAGGTTACTTCACATAATTTTACCTTGGAGGTACATAATTGACTGTTCTGTTATCTGTTTTGTCGCCTGACACTCCTTGTCGACTTCTGCGTGATTACACTGGTCTGGAACAAAATGGCGGCGTACTTGCACGGTGCGGAGAAGTAATGTGGTTATGAGATGTCAACATGTCACTTCTCAGAGTGTGTGCCTTTACCAAATGTGTGAAGATTAGCCGTTTTTTGTTGGAAAAGTGTTCTGTCCGAAACTCTCCAGAGAACTATTGTCCTCTGTGCCTAAGAAACTGCGCCTCGAGACGATTTACAGGTGAGCTGAAGGATACACTGTGCTTCACCAGAATAAACCTCTGCGCATTATTTGTTCATTGTTATGTTTAACCTTGGATTGTATCACTTTGAACAGTTTGAACTGTTGGGAAAAACATCTCTAGACAAGACTTACTATCTATAGTAGTGTTTTGATCCCTGTCTGTAACATGACTACTATGTGTCCTCATGTGTACTGTATTAAAAATAGAGAGGTTTAATGGTGATATGTTTCACTGTATTATTGACAGAGCACTATCTGCACCTGCAAAGAAGAAATATATCATTTCTGATTCCCAAGACAGATGACAACAAGAAACGTTTGCTGGAACAGTCTCTAGTTGATGGTGAGCTATAAAATAACTGAATGTTCTGATGTCTACTGTGCATTGATTCTAAAGGCGCACTGTGTAATTCTTCCGGCGAGGGATGCCATTACTTTGATTGAAATCTTAATTTCTTCTGATATTGAATATGATCATGCATTACATAATCAAATTACAGATGTTTTCTTGCTCAAAAATACCTTGCTAAAACGCATTGTTACTCTTGTGGGCTTGCCTCACCACAGATCTGACTTGGTCTGGTATCCCCTTGGAGATAAGTTAGTAAGCAATACTGTGGAACATTCCATTCCAGTGTAATAACATGTCCATTGGAGACTAGCAGGTTGGCGGACCCTCTAGCAGAAAAGTTAAATAGTGATACCTTTAAGGGCTTGCTTATAAGATGAACATTTCACATCAACAATTAACCAATGCTTAGAAACAGCACATTTCACCTAGATTTGATATACCCTTCCTTGTTTACTTGTATCATAAATCAGCCTGCTTGTTATTTAACTGTTTACTTGAGAACTTTGCACAAGAAAGTATGTTTCACTGAACTTGTGGAAACTTAATAATGGTTTCTTGCTCTGTAGCATTGAGTTCAGGATTTGAAAGTAGGGCATTTTTGTTTAGTAACCTGTACTTTTACTTGGTCATTTAGTCATTTAAGTGATTGTACATGCATCAGTGCCATTATCATATGCTTGGTTTTACACTTGTCAGAACAGAAATATTCACTTCAGGTGATCACACCTTTTTTCCTTTGTAGGTCTCTTATAACACTAATCTATAAATATGCAATCAGATAAGACTTAAAAATAGTGCATGGTGTCTATTGCAGTCTATTCCAGTTTAAACTTAATTATATTTTTGTGTGCCATCTTCTCTAGTTCTTGAAGCCAGAATCCAGCAGCTTCAGTCTGATGTTGTAGATGTCCAACATGCAAAAGTGCAGTTTGTCTCTGCTCCCTCCTCTGGAACAGGACCATTATCTGGTAAAAGTCCAAAAAGCCAACCTCAGGCCAAAGCAGACCAACCCAAACCAAGATCAAAATCACAGCCCAGTCGTTGGATGGAGAAACTCTCTCAAGAAAAGAAAAAAAAACTTAAGGAAGAACAAAATCTACAACAGAAAATCCAGATGAAGAACATGAAAGTGAGCAAAGGCAGCCAAATGCTTCCTGGAACCTCCCATAAAATCATTTCTACCACAGCTAAAAAGACTGCAGCTTCAAAGAAGAAACCTAACAAACACATGAAACTGTCTGAAGAAATTCACTCAGCAGTCTCTTCAACCTCCACCACTGTAGTTAGAACTGCTGCCTTGTCACGAAAGGTTTACAAAAGGAATGCAAACTGTTTAGTCAATATAGCTGTAGATAAAGGAGGCTCAACTAACTGTACAGCAGAAATTGAGGGGAGAGCAAATGCACTGGTGCAGGCAGAAGAGTTGGAGAAAACACTCAATGCACGGTCCTCCTCAAATACACATATAACAGAGGGACTATTGGATAATAGTACGTACGCTGTAGAGCTCCAGCAGAGCATCAGCTCGTACTTGGAGGCCTGCGTGTTTATGGGGGACATTGATCGCGCACATCACTTCCTGCTCAGTCAACACAGAGGAATGAGCAGGCGGAAGCATCTCAATACAGACATCTATAACATTATGATGAGGGTTTGGGCCAAAAAGGTGGGTTTTTTTTAGTAGTTTGTGTTGTCATGGTTGGAAAGCGTGATATTTTACTGTTTTCATCAGGGCACACTGAGTCATATTGGCCGCATATTTATTTTGCTGGAAGAGGCGGGTCTAAAGGCAAACCTGGGATCCTACTGCGCAGCATTGGAATGTATGGGACGCAATCCAAGCTGCTCGCCACAAGTTATTATTAGGTAAGTATTTAAGTTAGTTTAGTGTAGCTGCAAAGCAGTGTAGGTATATCCGTAATGATTTGCTCAGACCAGCAGGGGGCCCCCTTTCCTAACGTTTCTTTTACCTTCACGTTATAACATTGTGTTCTCCTCTTTTCATCAGTCTTGTTCTATAGAATGCAAGTTCTTTATTTAGTCCACAGGATAAAATATTTTACTTAGAGCTATGTAATTATTGGCATTGCGGGTGTTAAAATGATTGATATCATTATGACAAATTATAGTTATGACTTGAAATACCATATTAACTCTTAAATTTAGCATTTTGTATATTTCTTTGCAAAATTACTATAATTTAGAAACTGAAATTCTGAAGTTCAGATGAATCAAATTCTATACAAATTTCAAAAGCAGCAGTGCACCTCACTTACAAGTGTGACTAGGCTGCTTGTATGGTCCCAAAACCCTCTTTTTCTTCAAGTTGTTCTTTCTTCTCTGAAAACACAGTTCCTAAAAAATCTGCTAAACTACTTACATATACAAATTTTAAGTCTCAGGCAACAATATTTTACTCTGACTTCCTTTGACTTCAGTAGTATAGTAACAATGACGCCACTTTGCACTTCACATTTTTCACCTTTGTTTCCATAGCAACTATAATACGCTGATGCCTGTAATATTTAATGATGTTTTTCACATAAATCCTGAACAGAAGCCCAAGTGTTAATAAGGCTCACTAGAGGTCGACTACAAGAGACTGGTGTAATTAAAATGTAACAGAGTGACAGGACCCCTCTGACACACTTGTGCTGGGTTTAATATACTTGTGCAAGTACATTTCTTCATCAAGAACTACCGTCATTGCAGCAGCACCCCAGTTTTTCTGCAACTAGGCCAACTTGACAAATAATATCATAATCTAAGTTGATCTAGTGCTGCAAATATACACTGGAATGTATTGATGCTATTAACCAAAATAATACACAGGTCTAATGCACAATTTGTGTTTTTTGGAGAAAGTTGACTTGAGGTATCTTTAAGGGATATGGTAGACAAAGGTAGAGCTAACCTAAAATGGTACAATTAAGTGATTAGGACATTGGGGATTTTAGCGGGCTAGATCTTACCTCACTGATATGCCCCTTAATGGCTAGTTAGGGCCAGCAGGACCTACAGGACTACAAGAATATACTGACAGTTAATTTCCTCCCCCATTCATTTACCATGAGATATTAGGTAGATATTGGGCCTAAATCAAAATTCTTTATGAATACACTATTTTTGGATGACTCTGATCAGGTCTTAGAATAAAACAATTCTCTTGTGAAGTGACTGTCCCACCAGTGATTACAGGCAAGACTTAAGACATTTCTTTCATCCATCTGCAGCACTTTTGAATGGCCAGTGGTAGGGCAGGAATAAGTCTTCATTGATTACTGTAAAATGACACTCTCATGATATAGGCAGACTTAAATCTTATTAATTTTCCTCTTATCTCCACTGGCTATTGTTTTCTGGGGGCATTTTCCTTGCACTTTTCTCGCATCAAACATTATTTTCCCAACCTGTCCGCAGTCTTTTCAGTCCATGCACTTATCCCCTGAAGTTTTGCCTTTGTAAGTGCTGCCTCTCCCACAGCCCCTTGTTCCCCAGTGTGCTGCTGAGCACTCACCAGGCTGATTATGCTCTATCATTCAACCTCTTTGCCCTTTCTGTTCATTTGGACCACACCACCAGCACCCACACTAATCCTCCTTTTGTTCAAGCCTCTCTCTTTTACTTCAACCCCAATTGCACATGGCAACACACTTGACTCCATGACAGGGTCAAGGAAACTAGACACGCTCTGCTATAAATATTTGCCTACTTATCATTATTTACCGCTAAGACTATCAAATAGCTATGTTAATAATATATTCTGTTTACTTTGCAAGTCTTTGTCTATATCAAAACTGCTAGATTGCTTTTGGATGCTCTAATATGCATTCTCTGTTCATTCACTTCCTGTGAGGGTGCTTGTAAACGTCTCTGCAATTATGGGCCTCAGATGGTGGTAGATTTGAGATTTTTTTTCTGATATTAGAAGGTGCATTGTCTGATGTTACACTGTCAATGGTATACTGATGCTGATAATACAGTACATTGGAAAATACTATCTCATGATTCTTGCCAATGCAGAAACCTGTTTACAATCATATTAAATTACAGATTACAGATTATACGTGGACCTGTCTATTTCCTGAAACAATTTCCTTTCATTGCATTTATTCTTCTTGATGTTGCTGCAAAACTCCGCTTGTGTCTGATTAAACTAGGTCTGAAGAAGCTGCTGAGCCAGGGTTTCCACCCCAATATAATTAGCACACTGTTATTTATAATTATTCTGAAAAGGAGCACAAGGTAAAGTGGATGTTTCTGGTGACAAATGTTTTTTTTGCAAAACTCAGAGAGACAAGAAGTGTTGTTGTTTACCTCCACCATGCATGGTGACTTTATTTTTAAGAAGTGATCTATTCTCTCAAGCATTAACAACACGGTGTGCCTTTTTCATAAGCTTTTTATAAATGCAACCTAAGTCCTAAGTTAATGTAATATTCAAGATAATAGTTGAATAGGGCATATCCTGTTGACAATGTGCAATTTGATCAGTACAGGAAATGCCTTGTAGATGGAATTTACAAAACCCATGTATCTCTCATGACATGGTTTAAAATGAGTTTTATTGACCTAAATATAATATATGGTATGTATTGCAATCAAATGGACATTTATTTTCTTGCCTACATTTCTTGTTCTGCTCTTTCATATCATAGCTCAGAGACATTTTTTATATTAATTAATCAGATGGTATGAGAGAGAAATCCCACATCCCCAGACAGGGCAGAGGTCAAAAGATTGTGCTCCAATTCCAGAGTCTGTTGAGCATGGTGGATCTTATCTGTGATGCAGATCAAAGGGTCTCTGATGGGCTATTCTGAATGCTACACACATGTGAGAATCCTAATTATTCCATCATGCCAACGTGTGACTATAATCATTTTCAGTTCCTAGGTTTTACACATGAAATAGTCTTTTATTTGAAAATCCACCTTAACCTCCAAGTAGTGCTTTTGTATATTTATTTTGTCATATAATACACTATTCCGTAGCTGGTTCAGTTTTCCAGATTGTGGGTTCAACTTCTCCATGACTAAAATTCCAGCTGTCCCTACACTAATAACCCATAACTGTCATCAAATTAAAAACTCTTTTGTGGTGTTTTGTACAGGTGCCTGAACCAGATGGAGGAGGATGGATTTTCAGTGGATGACTTGTTTAGTCAGTGTCTGTTCAGACAGGATGAGAGGGACATGGTTATGAACGCCATTCATGTAGTCCAGCCTGAATACCAGCCAAACGTTAACCCAGACGGAAAGCAGCAGTACCCCTCACTGGTGGAGGACTTCTACACGCAGGTAATAGGGACAAAATAATAGGATACATGTTATAGTAAATTTTGTATATGACAGGGTGGTTTTAGGGACCTGGCGAAAGGAAATGAAAATATCAGCACTGGCAGACAATTTGAGAGCTATGCTTTTGTTTTAACTGAGGAGATTCAGGTCGGGGTGGGACTGCATGAAGGATCAATGAGAACTTTTTTTATTTATTAAAGAATTAAGAGAAAAACAAATCTGGTAGTGATTATTTTAATTGAAAAACTTTTCCGTTTAAATATGCAATGCAATATGGAAATTAACTGTTAAACATGTATTTCAGAATCAGTCATTACATTTTTAAGTCTATTTGCAATCCTGTATAAACTGAGAGCACTAAATCTGCTCTGTAACCCTAAACCTAATCAATATGCAAATGTGGTGTAGTGTACTTCATAATGCAGCTGATTTGCAGTGGTGACCCTGTGAGCCCAAAGAAAAGAAATATCGTCTCGGATATTTTAATCGCTCTTTTGTCTTGTGTTTGCTTTTGGCTTTTACACCATGACTGGGCTGAGAAAGCTGTCGGCAAGCTCCAGCGTGACTCCTAAAGATTTGATTGTCACCCCTTCACAGCCCGCCACAGTCAGGCGCTGGCTCTGCCCTATTTTTAGTGTGCCAACCCTGCTTTCTAATGGCTCCTGTGCTTTCCTTTTCGAGTCTTTTCTCTCACCTCTCCTCCTGCTCTTCCCACCTCCCTTCCCCCATTCAATCTCACATGATTCATTAACAGCTTTTTTGTGCAATTGTGCTATTTTTAACCTCATCACATACTCCATATTCTTTGGACTTGACACGTTCGAGTTGTCTTTTTGTAGGCTTAGGCTGGTGGTGTGATGAGAGGAGCCTGGCTTGCATTTTGAGATAAAAGTTCAGCTTAAATCATGTCAAGCGTCCTTGCATCATTACTCATGCCTGTGATTGGAGAGCTGGCTAACTACTCGCGTGGTGAGCTAACTGTAACATTTTGGATGACTTATTTGCATAGGGGAAGGCTGTCCAAATAACTGGTCCCTATGATAACAGAATACAAGGCTGGCAGATCTCTAGACAGCACACTCCATCTCATTAGAATATGTTTATTGTAGCAATTATGTATGGAATTGATTAAAATGTAGTTTATAGAATGCTGTTTGATCAAGCTGTGTCTTGTCACTAGAGACTGTTGGACATCAGAAAATCAACCCATATATCAAGCATTCTTATTATTGCTTATGGGGCAAAAAAGCTCTAAAAAGAGTTTATGAAGTCCATTTGTGTATCTATAAATACAGTTGAATATTACATAAAATTTACTGTCTTATCTACTTGCCTCTTTTTACTCCTAAATAAGACTAAACTTCCATTTTGATTATTCAATTGTGTAGTTGGTAATTTGATGTTGCAATGATTCTAAATATGGTAGGTACCCCTTAACTGATAGGACTGAAAATGTGTGCGTTTGAAAAGAAGCATTACTGAAAAGAAAGCATTTTTCATGTGCATTGTCAGTTTTCTGTCACTGGTGTGTGATAAACTCTAACAGATAAAATAGTGTGGTTTAGATCGATTCCCCCTGGCAGCAGTTCAGATGGGCTTACGATTTGGCTTTGGGTGACTGGCCTGTTTCATAAGTCTTTATCTGCTTCCTGTCTTGAACCTTGGCTGATAGGATCTCAACATTTACACCAATAATAGCATGAAACTCACTGCAATAAAACCTGTCTCCACTGTCCTGTTCTGTGCTTTAGAGGGCGGAGCATCGCTATCCCAAACTGCACTTCACCAAGCAACAGCTCCAGGAGCGGTTTCACCAGCAGCTCAGCATGGAGCGGGCCTGCACCGTCACTGTTGACTCTGTGGAGGCAGCCAAACCCGTCACTGAAAACATGGACAAAATGGTACATGCATCATGTTGAGCACACTGTTCACTATACCAATTCATATTTTTTTATTTAGAAATGAAAGAAATTGATGCCAAGTACGCAGTTAAAACATATGCAGTGACATTCTTACTTGTTTTCTTCCCTTGATAATAAATAGTATAATTATCCATCCATCCATTTTCATCCGCTTATCTGGGGCCGGGTCGTGGGGGCAGCAGTCTAAGCAGGGACTTCCAGACTTCCTTCACCCCAGACACGTCCTCCAGCTCCTCCGGGGGAACCCCGAGGTGTTCCCAGGCCAGCCGAGAGACATATTCCCTCCAGGGTGTCCTGGGTCTTCCCCGGGGCCTCCTCCTGGTGGGACATGCCCGGAACACCTCCCGAGGGAGGCGCCCAGGAGGCATCCGGAACAGATGCCCGAGCCACCTCAACTGGCTTCTCTCGACGTGGAGGAGCAGCGGCTCTACTCTGAGTTCCTCCCGTGTGACTGAGCTCCTCACCCTATCTCTAAGGGAGCGCCCAGCCACCCTGCGGAGGAAACTCATTTCGAGTGCTTGTATCCGCGATCTTGTCCTTTCGGTCACTACCCAGAGCTCATGACCATAGGTGAGAGTAGGAATGAAGACTGACCGGTAAATCGAGAGCTTCGCCTTTCGGCTCAGCTCCCTCTTCACCACAACGGTCCGATACAGCGACCGCATCACTGCCGAAGCTGCACCGATCCGCCTGTCAATCTCATGTTCCGTCCTTCCCTCACTCGTGAACAAGACCCCGAGATACTTGAACTCCTCCACTTGAGGCAAAAACTCCCCACCCACCCGGAGAGGGCAAGCCACCTTTTTCCGGTCGAGAACCATGGCCTCAGACTTAGAAGAGCTGATCTTCATCCCAGCCGCTTCACACTCGGCTGCAAACCGCCCCAGTGCACATTGCAGGTCCTGGTTCGATGAAGCCAACAGGACAACATCATCCGCAAACAGCAGAGATGAGATCCTGTGGTCCCCAAACCGGACCCCCTCCGGCCCCTGACTGCGCCTAGAAATTATTTCCATAAATACAATGAACAGAACCGGTGACAAAGGGCAGCCCTGGTGGAGTCCAACATGCACCGGGAACAGGTCTGACTTACTGCCGGCAATGCGAACACAGCTCCTGCTCCGGTGATACAGGGACCGGACAGCCCTTAGCAAAGGGCCCCAGACCCCATACTCCCAGAGCATCCCCCACAGGACACCACGAGGGACACGGTCGAATGCCTTCTCCAAGTCCACAAAGTACATGTGGACTGGTTGGGCAAACTCCCATGAACCCTCGAGCACCCGATGGAGAGTGTAGAGCTGGTCCAGTGTTCCACGGCCAGGACGAAAACCACACTGCTCTTCCTGGATCTGAGGTTCGACTATCGGCCGGATTCTCCTCTCCAGTACCCTGGCATAGACCTTACCGGGAAGGCTGAGGAGTGTGATCCCCCTATAGTTGGAACACACCATCCGGTCCCCCTTCTTATACAGAGGGACCACCACCCTGGTTTGCCAGTCCAGAGGTACTGTCCCCGACCACCACGCGATGTTGAAGAGGCATGTCAGCCAAGACAGCCCCACAACATCCAGAGACTTAAGGTACTCAGGACGGATCTCATCCAACCCTGGAGCCTTGCCACCAAGGAGCTTTCCAACCACCTCAGTGACTTCAGCCTGGGTGATGGATGAGTCCGCCTCCGAGTACCCAGCATCGGCCTCCTCCTCGAAAGACGTGACGGTGGGATTGAGGAGATCCTCAAAGTATTCCTTCCACTGCCGGACAACATCCCCAGTCGAGGTCAGGAGCTCTCCCCCCGCACTGTAAACAGTGTTGGCGAAGAACTGCTTCCCCCTCCTGAGGCGCCGGACGGTTTGCCAGAATCTCTTTGAGGCCGTCCGATAGTCCTTCTCCATGGCCTCCCCGAACTCCTCCCAGCTCCGAGTTTTTGCCACCGCAACCACACGGGCTGCAGCACGCTTGGCCCACCGGTACCCGTCAGCTGCTTCAGGAGTCCCCTGAGCCAGCAAGGCCCGATAGGACTCCTTCTTCAGCTTGACGGCATCCCTTACTTCCGGTGTCCACCACCGGGTTCGGGGATTGCCGCCGCGACAGGCACCACAGACCTTACGCCCACAGCTCCGAGCAGCCGCATCGACAATAGAGGCCGAGAATGAAGCCCACTCGGACTCCATATCTCCAGCCTCCCCCGGAATCCGGAAGAAGTCCTCCCGGAGGTGTGAGTTGAAAGTCCCTCTGACAGAGGGCTCCGCCAGACGTTCCCAACAGACCCTCACTACACGCTTGGGCCTGCCAGGTCTTTCCGGCTTCCTCCTTCGCCAGCGAACCCAACTCACAACCAGGTGGTGATCAGTTGACAGCTCAGCCCCTCTCTTCACCCGAGTGTCCAAGACACGCGGCCGGAGGTCAGATGACACGACTACAAAGTCGATCATCGACCTCCGGCCTAGGGTGTCCTGGTGCCATGTGCACTTATGGACACCCATGTGCTCGACCCTCTCGTTCACCGGGGTGAACTCCAACACACAGCGGCTGAGCTGTGGGGCAATGAGCAAGCCCACACCAGCCCGCCGCCGCTCCCCGCGGCCAACGCCAGAGAAATGGAGAGTCCAGCCCCTCTCAAGGAGTTGGGTTCCAGAGCCCAAACTGTGCGTGGAGGTGAGGCCAACTATATCTAGTCGGTAATGCTCAACCTCCCGCACAAGCTCAGACTCCTTCCCCCCCAGCGAGGTGACATTCCATGTCCCCAGAGCTAGTCTCCATGTCCGGAGATCCGGTCGTCGAGGCCCCCGCCTTCGACTGCCGCCCAAATCTCTTTGCACCGGCCCCATATGGCTCCTCCCGCGGGTGGTGGGCCCACGTGAGGACGGCCCCACGTCGCTCCTTTGGGCTGAGCCGGGCCCCGTGGGGGAAGGCCCGGCCGGGCCCCGTGGGGGAAGGCCGGGGCCCGGCCGCCAGGCGCTAGGCGCTCCCTGGCGAGCACCCACCCCAGGCCTGGCTCCAGGGTGAGGCCCCAGTGATGCCAATCCGGGCGATGTAACTGGCCTCTTTGTGTGACTCATCATATGGGACTTCTGAACCGTACTTCGTCTGACCCGTCCCCCCGGACCTGTTTGCCTTGGGTGACCCTACCAGGGGCATGAAGCCCCCGACAACATAGCTCCCGGGATCATTTGGGCACTCAAAACCCTCCACCACGATAAGGTGACGGTTCAAGGAGGGATAGTATAATTAAGTTTACAAAAAAAACATACACATTGCAATCGTTACATTCACTGATTATTTAAAACTAATGACTTGTGAGCTTTCTATCTTTTGTTTATGCAGTTAGTGCAGACCTCCACTTATATAATTGCTTGCAATGGTAAATAATATCCTGAGCTGGATCAAAAAGTAGGTCTCTTCTAGATGTTTAAAATGTTTGTAAAATGGTATGTCTCAATGCTGACCCCTTGTGGTGAGGTTCCAGTCAATAACAATGCCACCAACAAGTCATATTTTTATGACCTAATTACTGACCTTCCCTGAAAAACAATATTGACGAACCAACAAGCACTGTATCTGCTAGCATTCGCTTTCTAAATCCTTCTGGCTATCTTTGAAATAAAACAGTTTTGTTAATATGTATGACAAAACTGAACAAACATTATATTGAGCCTCAATCCCAAATGTGGCATTTGGAGCTGGCCCTGGATGGTGTGTCTGCAGATGGGCTACGTGGGAAGCAAGCAGTCGGAGCGTCCCTGGTGGTCATGGAGCATTTACAGACAGACACAGCAGAATAATAATGCATTATAATGGCTGCTGGGCAATAGGGAAAACGTCACCTCCACAGACACTGCTGCGGGCATACTGAAAAAGCCTTTACTTGCGTGATGAATATACACTGAAAACTGTACAAATGTTAGACTTTATATATGTAAATATGTCCATATCTAAGCCCTTGAAGTTGTACTTGCAGTTGTGCATAAAGTATAGTAACTGTATCTCATGGGCACTGTATCTCATGGGTTTATGAAATATTTGAGAAAAAAACTTTAGACTACCTTAAAAGTCATTTAAGTATTTCTTTAAAACTAAATGACTTTTAAGGTCAGTATATTTGGTAAATTATAGAAAAGTGATTTTTCGCACCATCACACGTACTGTGTTGTTGTAGTTATTGATTTCCAGTTGTTTTGTTGCATTCAGAGGAAGTTGCTGTCAGAGCTGAGGACACATTGGCACAAAACACTGCTTCAGGCTTTGAAGGAGAACAAGATGATCCTTGCAAACACCAACTCCAAAGGCTACAGACTCAACATCTATCCTTACCTGTGTCTCCTGGACGACAGCGACTACGTGGACATCATGGTGCAGGTAACCAACCCACTTGACTTGCAGGTACAAGTAAGGTACAGGACGTGCAAATTTCAACTTTAGATTTTTTTTTCATATATTTTTATTTTGACATTTTATAAGCATTAAATCAGTTACAGACCAAAACATTTGCAACTTTTGATGACACTGTGTTTTGATTTCTTTTACTGTGATCGAGGCATCTTCATCTCAATTTAACTGACAAGCTGGATGACTGTATATTATTTTTTTGTCTTACACTTTTTGAACCCTGTGCCTGCCCTATGCAGAGTGTTGCCAACATGCCACCCAGTGGGGAGTCCCTCAGGGTTGTGGCCCGTGACCTGGGCAGCAGAGTCTACAACAAGTACTCTGTGAAGCAGAAGCAACAGTATCACATGGTGCAGAAGATGACCAGCATTTACAGCTCGTACACAGACATTTTAGCCAAGGACACTGAGGTAAGATCAAAACAGAATGCAAAAGACTATCTTTTCTGTTAGTAATTTAAGGAAATAAATACAATGGAGGGATGGATAGTTTAGAGGATTTTTACTTGTAATTCTGCTGAGAATGATTTACATGAAAAAATAAACATTGATTATATTTATAATAAGATTACATACGATGACATAAATATATATTTTTTTATTTATGTGAAACTTGTTTTGAGTAATTTGACACTAAACAACAGCATGATCTGTTGTACTCTTGCCTAATGTTGCAAAATGGAAATGAAATAAAATGATTACATCACTATCTGCTTCTAAAATATAATGCCAATATATTCACAATCCTGTTTAGTAGCATGAAAAACCTAACTTAATTTTGTGTTTTTAATGCAGCTGTTTTTTTTCAATATGAGGCTGGAGCTGACTCAGGGCTGCACTACTGTTTTGACACTGGTGCTGTACTCTGGAGAAAACCCTCTTGTTTAATATAATGAGGCAATGCTCATTATATTCAGTGGTTTCTTACCTGTAGTTAGAGAAGGTGTTTGTTTCTAAGGTACTTTACATGCAGCCCTTTGTAGTGAAAATTGAGCTTGTTATGCTGTTTTTATTCTGTGATAACCTTAAACATTAATTTGAGATTTTATATGAAAGAAGGTTTGGGATTTGCATATCTTGCTTCCATTCAAAAACCTGATTACCCTGTGTAGACGTTGTACCAAAGTTGACCTTAGATAAGGCTAAATTGTGTACATGTTTTCACTTCATTTACACTGAAAAAGTACTCAAACCACAAACTGACTGTCTAGACCATAACCAGTCCAGGCAGCAAGTGGCACCATGGCTGTGTGGGGCTTTTCTGTGTAAAGTTTGCATGTTCTGTATGTATATGTATGGGTATGCTCCAGGTGATCTGTTTTTTCTCCTCAAGCTAATATTTGCACAATAGGCTAATCATCCAGTTTGGTTGTCCTCAAATTCTGGAGTGTTGCACTGTTGTCGCCTACTGCTTCTGAGGGGTTGCCTTGTTGTATTAAAGGATAGGTCAAATGCAGAATAATTTGCCTATAGGAAAAATATAGTGCCATACCATGTCACAATATGGCCTGAAACATCATACTGAAACATCTTGCTTCTTCTGCTAACATTGATAACAAAAGTTGTTAGTAAAACTTTGTAAAACTGTCACTAAAAATACCACTGCCTGTGTCTGTTTTTAGGCGTACAGTGTCCTTCCCAGAGAGCGCTGGTGTGAGCTGGAGGCAGAGAACATGGTGGGTCCCACTCTGAGGGGAACAGAGACCAACTGGCCCTACGCACTGACTCTGGAGCTGGGCACGTACCTGGTGGATCTGATGGTGAAAAACCTCAAAATAAACAGCGACATTTTGAACCCCGCATGTGACCGAAAACTCATCCCCATCCTGTACCACATGTACACTTTCAGGAGCACCAAACAGGTAACTAGGGATCTAAAATTTGATGTTTCCGGTCAAATATCTGATTTGATGGTTTTGTAGACTCAATTGTATTGAAACTAAAACTTTAGTTATCCATATACGGTACTAGATTGCTTTGTTGTTCTGCATCTTGTAATTGCGTGCACATAATCCCATACTAGAAAATAGAATGCCGGTATCTCTGTGATAATATTTTTTTATTAATATGATTTTGATATTCAATGCCAGCAAAGTTGTGAAAACACAGATGCAATTTTATTATTAGTTTTTGTTAGTGAAATATTGTATTAGTTGTAAACTGTTTCATTCTGCTGGATCCAAACGTTTTTGGAAAAGTGTGTGGTTTTGACCAAATTTTATTGCCCTCAGGACTCCTGGTGTACTTGTACACATTAATTGGTATTTTTTCAAGTTTAAACATGCACTACAATCATAACCTCACTAACAAACAGTGTGATGGAATGATCAAACTTCTTGTAAACCCATAGTTATAAATGTAACTGCAGTTCTATGAATCCCAGATAAAACCACAAATCTGAATGATTTACCATGTTGACCAGCAGTTTATAGCCCTATACCTTGTATATGTTTTAAAAAGTTAATTGTTCTAACTCAACCAGACTCATTTAATAACTGTCCTGCCTTTGCTTTCCACACTTGACCTTAACATGGGACACTGTCAGTCACCACAATGCCCTGTCGCACAGTTGAGCACCCTCAGCTCCTGTGTGGAGAGTGTGAATTATAAAACCACTTCCCGCCGAGTGAATTGGCAGGGGGCAGCGGAGTAAGATGAATAGGGTCCCAGCTAATCCTTCTTTTACTGTCCTCTTAATTGGCTCGCTGATTTGTTGCCATGGGACTTCACTCAAGTCTGAGGGGATGAGTCAAAGAAGAGAAAAGATTGGACTTTTTGAAAAGGTGCAATTTTGAACTAAGGCAGATTTTCTGGTTATTCTATATAATTCCAGAGATATTCCTTTCCCTCTACTCGCTCTATCCATTTTTTTATTCTCTTGGTGGAGGTCAGGCCAACAGGGGAGCATCCTAATGATTTTACAGCTCAGCAGGAAAGTCTGACTCATGCAAGCTTGGCTGAACTGAATTATTTTTTCCTGTCATGTAGCTTTCTTTTTTTTTTTTTTTCCTCAAATTGTCTCATGTGTGGTGCCCTGTGACCTGTACAGTATTAGGGAGGTGTGGAGATAACTATGGCAGTTTAAACTTAAGCTTATTTTGCTAACTCTGTAGAACATTGTATAAACTTTTCTTATACCTTTGTTATGTTTTTCCCTTATCTACAAATCAGTGACAATTTGTTAGACCCCAGTCTTTTTGTATGAAATGAGATAAAGTTTATAATAGTGAAAGCTCTATGTATTATATACTAGAAAATATTAGTAAGTACTCACTATATGTTAACACTATAATCATTTCAATTTTAAAAAGTATCTCAAATATGTAATTGCAAATTATTTTTTTATTATTTGTTTACGTGCCAAATACAATATATACACAGTATTATTATTATTAAAAAGTATGCTGTTACATGAAAAGATAATCACTTTCCCATTAAAAAATTGGGCTTCAACATAGTATAAATGTAGATTTGAGTTTTAACATTTCACCATTTCACTTGAAATGTCATTGCCCCTACGGTCAGATGATTAACTACTGACAAACTGTTGAAGGCTTCAATCATTCAAATTTGGATCTTATGTCCCACTTGTCTATATGTGTTATATTGCACACTTGCACACAGGATCCAGCTAATACTATATATAACCTCTTTTGGCAGGTTGGCTTCATCAAACCTCACCCTATCCTGACTCAGATTCAGCAGGACGCCATGGAGACCAAATTGACTTTTGACTCCTATGTCATCCCGATGCTATGTCCTCCCGTGCCCTGGACTTCGGTCAAGTTTGGGGCTTACCTTCTTACCCCCACTAAACTTATGCGAACTATCGATGGAGCCACCCAGCATGAGTCTTTGCTGGAAAGAAGCCAGAACCTACAGCCCATCATGGATTCTCTCAACCAGCTGGGCAACTGTGCATGGAAAGTCAATAAACCACTTTTAGATATTATAATTTTAATTTTTAACGATAAAGGGAATGATAAATTAGATATCCCTCCACCAATGTCAGAGGCCCCAAAAATCCCCAGTTTCAACCCCCAAGATCCATCCTACACATCCACTGAGAAGGCCCAAATGAAAAGGGAGGTTGTTATTGCCAAAAAGAAATGCGGTGAAATGCACAGTTTGCGCACAGATGCACTTTATAAACTTTCTATTGCCAACTACATACGAGATGAGGTCTTCTGGTTCCCTCATAGCATGGACTTCAGAGGTCGGACATACCCCTGTCCACCATATTTTAACCACTTGGGGAGTGATGTGACACGGGCCATCCTTTTGTTTGCTGAAGGAAAGCCCCTCGGTCCTAAGGGGCTGGACTGGTTAAAGATCCACTTAGTCAATCTGACAGGTCTGAAGAAGAGGAACTCATTGCAAGAGCGGCTCGAGTATGCCAATTCTATAATGGAAGATATACTGGATTCTGCTGACAACCCTCTGAATGTGAGTATATTAGGTCCTCAGCACATTTATTCATTTAGACGATCAAAAGAATATTGCCTAAAATTATATTAGAGTCAATAAAGAAACAGTGATTGAGATATTTTTCCCGATCATGATCAAAAAACAATGACAAAACCATCATGTATGACATTGTTACTTTATTATTATTGCAAGACCAATTCATTTTCAAAAATAATACATTTTCCAGTGTATTCTACAGCCATCTGTACCTTTTTAATGAATACTCTTACACCAGATTTTTCATTAAACTGTATGAAATAAGAGCATTTTGGTTTAACAATAACCAGCCTAAATATGTGAGGGTACACTTCTCTGTGTATAAATATACAATTGGACTTGTTTGTGTACAGGGCAGGAGCTGGTGGATGAATGCAGATGAGCCGTGGCAGGCTCTGGCATGCTGTATGGAAATAGCCAACGCAGTGAGATCACCTGATCCTGAACAATTTATTTCTCATTTTCCCGTTCACCAGGTAACCATTCACCTCATTATTTTGCAGCAGTGTGTAGCACATAGTTCACTTGGTATTAAAGCTAGATTTAACATCATTTACAGATGGATTTGGTTAATTGGAACTGCAAACAAATCTATTGACTTTTCCAAAACCATTAGAGAGGTCATAGCAGAAACCTTTGTTTTTGACTGGAAAACTAATTAATTTGTGATTGGATGATAATGGGCCATTGTTTGCATCTGATAATAGTCTTTCCTCAGGCAGGGTGCAAATCTGCTCAAGTGATGTGCAAATATGAAATTAATAAATAAAATATGTTTACAATAAATAGTCTAATTATGTGGTGTTAGGCCCTTTGACAGACATTCTAGTGAAATAACGTGCTTTAATCAATTGTTTCCACTTAGCTGTTTCACAATTGCTGTTTAATTATAGTCGTTTTGTTCATTTTTAATCATGCCTTCGGTGTTTAATTTAGTTTGAATCTAACATTTCTGAGGTCCATTTCTTGTCGCTCCTCTGCTCCAGGATGGCTCCTGTAATGGGCTGCAGCACTACGCCGCTCTGGGCAGAGACGTTATTGGTGCCACATCAGTCAACCTTATGCCCTGCGACCTGCCCCAGGACGTCTACAGTGGAGTAGCACAGCAGGTCAGTTCCACACTGCTGTTTAAATGTAGTTTTCTGTCTCATTTAGAGTATTTTTTGCTTAATTTATAGAAAACATACTTTACATTCTGATGGGTCACTATATTTCATAGTAAGACTCACTCTCTAAAAGCGCTTAGTTTTTCTGTGGACTACATATTGCATATAATTTGCTTACTTAATATGCCACACACCAGTGTCTTGGAGTTAGACCTTTCGTCATATCTAAAAGTTCAAAGGGCAAGGGCGTATGCTGGAATCAAAGCAGTGGGCGTGCTGTGAACCACCTTATTATTGCACAAACCAAAGTGAAATTAAGGTGATAAAAGTGACTTCGACAGTGTAGGAAGAATCTAAATGTGCTGATTTAGATGCCCAATGCATGTCTTTACATTTGATCAGGTTTGTAATTAAATACAGTGCTCTTATCGAGGGACACAGTTTAAACACCTTGCAAAGAGTTTGGCTTAAAAATGTGATTAATTAATACATCTTTTTCAGATTAGTAGTTACTGCCAAGTACTAAGACCTTAGATTTTCTTTTTGTGTTGATAGTTTTTTTATACGTGTATTCATACTGTATATATCCATGGGTTTCAAGTGATGTGAATGTAAGGCAGTTGCATTAAAAATATATATTCATATATATATTTTGTTTTAACAAGAAAAAGTAATTTAACTGAAACCCTTAAATGTAAGACGAATCCACTGTGAAAACAAAATAGTTCCTAAATGTTCAGTATTTATCTCCATGGCAAGAAGAAGGTGATATCACTCGGCCAAGTTATGGGTCAGGTGCAGACAGGCGACCCTGCTCATAGCTGCATGAATTGAATTTTTACCAATAAAACACCTTCTACAGGCAGGTGGCAGACCACCCACCAGAAAAGTTACATAAGTCGCCTCTAAAATAAGTATCAAATTTTATTTATTGTTGCATGGTGTAACAGGCCATATATAAAGCTACACTGAAACAAGCCTTTTATGTGCTGTCTTAAAAATGTTTGTACAGTACTACTTTTTGTCTGTTTTTCAGGTGGAAGAGCTGCGTGCACGGGATGCAGAGAAGGGCCTAAAAATCGCACAGGTCCTGGAGGGCTTCATCAGTCGGAAGGTGGTCAAGCAGACAGTGATGACTGTGGTGTACGGGGTCACGCGCTACGGGGGACGCCTGCAGATCGAGAAGAGGCTGAAGGAGATTGATGACTTCCCCAAGGTACTGAGAGAGAAATAGAGAGAGGAGGGGGAGCTTTCTTTGAATGTGCATTGTCTTATTTTTAGCGTAGCATGACGGAGAGGCCTTTTAGCTCCATATGGACTTCCTGTCGCACCTTATTATATGTTCCTATGTACCCTATTTCTTTTCTACATTGATTTATCTTTTATGACTCCTGAACACAAACCCGGTGAGATTTCTTATTGAACTACATCTCACTACTATGATTTTGAGCTACATAGCTGCTTTTTATGACTATTGCCCTGAAAATGGAAATGTTAAAGAAGCACTATGTAACTTTTGTGGTGAAGGTTAGGCCACCTGCTTGTCTCCATGGAGATAGTATTGTCTTTCCTGTAATATGCCACAGTATGGTGTTAAACTTCTCTGTTCTGGTGGCAGGTGACATCACAAGGCCAAGTAACGGGTCAGATCTGTATCGAGCAGAGCCCACTCAATAAGAATTAATGTTTTTCCACGTTATTGAGCTGTAAACTTGATGCAAGATGGATTAATGGCTTAATGTGGAACGCTGAGACAATAGTTAGATTAATTTAGAGCAAAATTTAAAGCAAGTGGATGACCTACCATCTACCAGAAAAGTTGCATAATGAACCTTTAAGGAAGTTAAGCAGGCTGTGTGAGTATGTTTTGTAGTTTGGCTGGATTAACATGTCTATAAAAAACTCTTCAAAACATGTCAAAGTTTGTTGAATTGTTAGAAAAATCAAAATCAATGCAATTCTAAAGTGCCCAGGCATATGCTTCAACAGGACCAGAGCCATTTATTCGTATTACACACTTGACAGCTTATTAACTCACAGATAGCTATTGTCTTACAGGTAATCTCATTGTATGTATAGAAGAGATTGGCTGGTCTGTGCCCTCTGTGTATCTTCAGTCTCACATCTTGGAGAATAGGGCTAAATGACTTCTGCATAATGTCTGTAATTGTTTAAATGGGGAATTAGTGGGAAGTGTAATTGTGACTGATTGTGCAGGGATAGGTGCAGGCAGAGAGAGTCTCAGTTGTGAGAAGATCTTATCTCTGTGCTGGCGAAAAAAATCACCAATATAGTGCTCATTATGATTATCAAATGAATATGCGTTCACTGAGTTTAATCTGCAAATTGACAACTATTAACTCTAATGTTCATTCACTATGGGCAGTTTTGATTGACAAATATTCTGACTGAGCTGTTGGGGATCTTAAGAGAACCCACAGTAAAAGAGGTCAAATGTAAAGTGTAAACCAAATCTCTACTTCATGAGAGTTTGAAGTGCTAACCTTCTTGTTGATGCAGCATTTTAAGCAAATCAGGATCCAATCATTTCAAATCGTCAATGATATACTTGGGTTATTTTTAAGTGAGAAATCTACAGCCAATCTGTCTCTAAAGCATGTGGTTTGGAAGAAGAAAGTAAGGATATTTTTGTGATAAATGGCACTGACTAATTTTATCTTGTGTATGTTTATGGAATCAACAACCTTTTTTATTGTTAAGAAGAACAATTGCAATTGCAGATATATTGTTCTACTACAATTTAATAATACTACAGGCAAATTGCACATAACGTAATTCTTTTTCTTAACGTAGAAGCTTCTGGATAACATTTTATTTTATTATTTAACATAACATTTGGTGCTCTACCCTACACAAATTGAGTACATGCATCTTAATTAATGTTTAATTTTAATTGGATTTATAAAAGCTAGACATCCCTTCTGACTACAAAGGTCTAACACTGTATTGTCTTTCAGGAGTATGTGTGGGACGCCTCTCATTACCTGGTGCGGCTCGTCTTCAGTGGCTTAAAAGAAATGTTTACAGGCACAAGAGAAATTCAGGTTTGGACAGCACCCGTTAGATAGAGATTTAATGTAACAAAATGTTTTCTTTAACCATTTTTCTCTATCTATATGGCATTGTATAATAGACTTTCCACTCTTGACCTAGTCCTGAATGTAGGCTAGATTTTATTTTTATTAATGACTTTTGTACCTCACTATTACCTTGCCATGGACTCTCATTCATCACATAGAGTCCATTTATAGATTCTGGATGTGCACCTGGTCTGGGACCACTAATAGAAGCACCACCCACTGGCAGCGTGTACCCTTTGGGGACTGTGTAGGGATGGCCCAGTCTGGAATGAAAAATCCCCCACCCAACATACTATGGTGCTCTCACATGTGAGCACCTGCTACTACAAAATGGGTCAAGGGAACCGCGAACACACGCACTGGAATCCCATCCTCCCTATATATACTATAAAACTAAATAGTGTAAGAGAAGTAAAATTGTTGTAATTGTTGTAAAACTGTTTTTCAACTTCCACTTACTCCTAGAGGTTGTAAATTGTGAAACCTAGGCCAGTAACCCCGGGTAATAGTAATAATAATGCATTAGTCTTATATACTGCTTTTCCAGACACTCTTTCCCTCCATACCCAGTGGTAAGATAGTATTGTAGCCACAGCTGCCGTGAGGCAGACTGACAGAAGGGAGACTGCCAATCAGTCCCTATGACCACCACCAACACTCATGCTCAAACCACTTTCATACTAGGCAAAATGGGTGAAGTGCCTTGCCTAAGGACACTTGTGCCCCACTGTGGCACCTGATTTTCCCAGCGGTACTTACCAGCCCCAGCCCTGCTTAGCGTCTGAGATCTGACAAGGTCAGGCTTTGAGAAGGAGTTTGGGTACACTTGGTTGGTTTAACTGCCCACTGGACTGTTGAGACAACAACACAAAATGGGTTTTTGACTAAACATTGTAGTTTTATATCATAGATATCATAGTGATAATATATCAATCTGGCTTTTGCAAGGTTACTAGTTTGTTCCAACCTGCTAACAATAGTAAGTTTTGCTGAACATTTAAAAATATATGAGTTAAGATAAGATAAGATATGCCTTTATTAGTCCCACAGTGGGGAAATTCCAGTGTTGCAACGCACAATTTCAGAACAGCAGGAAAAGGTAACACAGATAATAAATAATAGCTTAAAATAATTTAAAAATAGACTTAAAACTATACACTTGACAACTAATTATGCATTGTTTCAATTAACAGTCTGTTTGACGTGAATTATTAATTGACATTTGCTCATGAACACTCGTGAAATGTGGCAACAGTTTTGCCAACTTATTTTCTCCATTTACCCTTCTTATCTGCCATATTGATCGCACCAGTCAGTCAGTCGTAGCTATCTATCTAGTTAATCTCTCAGTCTCTGCTTGCTTTCCTGCTATCTCAGTCTCTTTGTGCCTGGGATAGGGCTGAAGTCCATAGCAGTGATGAATGGTGTTGCTTCAGGCCAGGCTGTTACATTGGTTTGCTGGGGCATATATTTGTCTTTGCAAAAGCTCATTGTGTGAAAATATTCTTGTGGGACTTTCATTCACAGAAAACTGTGCCAGACACTTATGCAAACAGCAGTTTTAAATTAAGCAACAATTTCTCACCTGTTCCTTTTAGTTAGTAACAATAGCCTTTTTAAAGCAAACGCCAGACCTGTAGCATAGATCATTTGTTTATGCCTTTAGAGAGTTCTGGCTTATACCAAATGCAACACAATATCTTTTTATAGCTTGATTTATTGAATGTTTATCCCAGTGGTAGGAAGAGCATGAGCAGAGAGGTCTCACATTCCTGGCCTTGTTTGAACATGCATGCTCGATATGCACTTGACTCCTGTATTTACTCTCTCCTTTTGCAGGACTGGCTGACGGAGAGTGCCAGGCTCATATCAAAGTCTGGACACTCTGTGGAGTGGTTAACTCCCCTGGGATTGCCCATAATTCAGCCATATCATCGCAAACGCAGCCAATTGGTAAGTTAAGTATAGATGATATGAGCCATTCATGGGGATGTCATCTTATACATATATATAATACTAGAGATAGACTGATATATTGGTTGGTCAGCTATTGACCATACATCTCCAGCAGAAGACAATATTTTGTTTGGCCCAACCAGCAGCCTAAATACGCATTAAATATATATGCATGAAGCTTTAAACACTTTAATCCAAAGAGGGCATTGCAAAAATGTGACCATGCTGGACTCTACACACTTTGTAGTGAAAGAAGGTGGCAGTTGAGTTTTTACAAAATTTTTATTTGATAATCTGGGGAAAATTACCTAAATTGGCTCTACATGTCGTCCCAAAATCTGCCCCTGGTTTCTCTGCATTCTGAGCAATTGGTATCAGTATTGGCCATGAAAACATTCACATCGGTCAATCTCTTACATATATACTTATACATATATATAGATATATATAAATACATATATACATATACACCCTAGTAGTAGGGTTAACACAGACTTACTGTCTTTCAGTATAATTTTTACTGATCAAAACTCAAAATCTGACATTTAATGCTGTCCATCTGTTTCATTATTGTAGGCTTTTTATCTTTTAACTCAAAAACCTAAACTGTCAAAGTTTGACCTTTTCAAAGCGCCCATTTGACTCTTCAAGTTTTAACACTTACTTTTAAAATTTCAAAAATGTCAAGTAATTTCCCTGTTATTTTGCTCCACTTACCACTTACATGCTAAGGTGTTCAGTGGAAAGAGGTAGGTGTGCGATCTGGACTCATTTATTCTTTTGTGTGATCATAATTAATACATGCAGTTCTCAAATGGTGGTACTAGTGCACTGGTGGCATGCAAGCCTTATTTATTTTATTTATTTTACTTTGCCAGATGCAGATGTTTTGGTGAACACACTTTATATACAATTTTCTTAAACTTATCAAGAGACACCATAAATTCAGATTTTCTATAATTGATTCTAAGACCAACATACTGTGTAGGAAAAGGCAGATCTTCCCAGCCTTAGACATATCTGTAGCCCTATCACTTGCTTATTGTTTCCTGTTACTCTACCTTAGTCATGAAGCTGGCATCCTATAGCAGAATATCCTGCTTGGCTGTTCCAGGTCTTGACAGGTCTATTGCAGTGCTGATGGTGTATTGTGATTGCACTTCTAGTGGTTGAACAGAAGCAACAGTCACACCTGCTCCAGAGTGACCCATCACTATTCGGGCTGTGATAGTGTCATGACGTAGAGATTAAACCTCAATATCCTGGAGCATGTCCAGATAGTGGGTCTTATTTGAGCACTTTTGTTAATGTCATCATATGGTTATATAAATGTATTTGACCTCTACATGCTGCTGCATAAGTGAAATGAGGAGAAATTCAGATAGCATATGCTTCATGCTGACAGTCTGTGAGGCTATAGGCCACCCCATGTGCAGCCAGCCATTTGGTTTGACATCAAGCAGGAGGGTAGCTTTGGGGGGCAGAGAGACCCCTCATAAGCAGGTGCAGAAGAGGCTGGGCGACAGATGGCTGATTCCCCTGGGGTTTGCCTCACTGCCACTGTAGTGGAGAGCATCACTTGATTTGATCTGATCTTCCTTTAATGTCCAGGGATGTGTGCGAGGTGATTAGCCTGTGCCATTTTCCAGACCCCCACATGAGTAAATAAGTGAATGAAGCTGTGACTTCCTTTAGCAGTTGCAAAGGTTTTAGCTCATGTTTCACAGATAAATTTCTTCATCCCCGGCTTTAATTCCCTAATCCAGTTGCATCACTAAGCAACAAAAATCAAAGTAACTTGCAGAAAGGTCACCTCTTTTACTGTATGGTGGGATTAAATTCAATCTTCCAGTCTCCTCTCAGCCTCTTAAATTTCAAGGTTGGGATTTAGAGGGGTCATTACTAATTATACCCAGAGATGGAACTGTGTGGCAAAAATATTGGCATCACTGTGAGAGAAGCAAAGGTGGATAGTTAAAAGTATACTCAAATACATTTTTATTTCTAGTGTTTTTTTCAAATGTAATGATAGGTGGTGAGAAACAACAAGTACCTGCACTGGTGGTGTATCAGTGTATCAGAACCAGTTAACTGGTTCAATCAGTTCATATCTGAAAAATAGGTTGTACAAAGTGTCAATACCCAGATGCTATTTGATACTTAAATTAGTATTGAAAGTAGATGCTATTCTGTAAGGATCGATACCGAAAAAAAATCACATTAAAGTAAAAAATGTGGATATTCTCTCATTTCTTTTAGTATGGTTTTTATCTAAATCAGTTACTATTGCATCTATTGTCTAAACTTTTTTCTTTTAGTATTGAATATCAAGCCTTTTCAAAATCAAGTTTCATGACAACAATAAAGAAGAGTATAGTACAAGTATATATTACGTTATTTCTTATTTATTTGTGTTTATCTAACTGGTACTGTGCTTTGTGGAGCAGGAAGTTGAAGTAACACATTGATACTGTTGATGTCTGAGGCTGTAACTGAACTGACAGATCACTGGTTAGTGTAGCTACTATTTCTTGTTTATTTCTCACCCTCTTGCTCTCTGTCAAGGTGACGCTAAAATCTCATTGTCAGTAAACCATGACACAAGGGACTCATCAGTTGGATTGCCTGGATTTGAGTGGATTTGGAGTTTATAAGTGTGACTAAACAGCTCTGATCTAATGTCCTCAGTGTGGAAAGAAAGTATCAGGTAATCCCGGCTTTGTGCTGGCCACTGATGATTTCCCTAGAGTCTCATAAATTATACTAAACAAATGCAAAACTTTAACCTGAGGTAGAAGAGCTGTTTTAAAGAGTTGTTTTTTCACCTACCAATTTAAGTTTTAGGATAGCACAATTTTGTGTTTCATTTTCATTTTTTTTTTTAAGTAAATCAAAAATCCAATATATTTATAAAGTAGAAGTAAAGTGATCTTGAGTTGTTCTCTGTACATACTATACAAAATGTTGCTTGGATGAATATAATGTCCTTGAAATAATAATGACATATGATTGAATCCAACCCAACTTTATCTTTTTTCCAAAGCAGAATCAGTAATGTGGAAGAGTGGGTGAAGTCACAATGGTTTGACTTTTTCGTGTATTAGGAAACCACATTTCTTAATGCCAGTGTGATGCCCCCTCTGACTCCCTTTATATGAACATCATGGAGGACAGCAGTACATGGTCTTGCAGAATCTTTTGCCATTTTGATTATATATATATATATATATATATATATATATATACACACACACACACACACACACACACACACACACACACACACACACACACGACACACACACACACACACACACACACACACACACACACACACACACACACACCATCCATCCATCCATCCATTTTCGTCCGCTTATCCGGGGCCGGGTCGCGGGGGCAGCAGCCTAAGCAGGGACTCCCAGACTTCCTTCACCCCAGACACGTCCTCCAGCTCCTCCGGGGGGACCCCGAGGCGTTCCCAGGCCAGCCGAGAGACATAGTCCCTCCAGCGTGTCCTGGGTCTTCCCCGGGGCCTCCTCCCGGTGGGACATGCCCGGAACACCTCCCGAGGGAGGCGCCCAGGAGGCATCCGAAACAGATGCCCAAGCCACCTCAACTGGCTCCTCTCGACGTGGAGGAGCAGCGGCTCTACTCCGAGCTCCTCAAGTGTGACTGAGCTCCTCACCCTATCTCTAAGGGAGCGCCCAGCCACCCTGCGGAGGAAACCCATTTCAAGCGCTTGTATCCGCGATCTCGTCCTTTCGGTCACTACCCAGAGCTCATGACCATAGGTGAGAGTAGGAACGAAGACTGACCGGTAAATCGAGAGCTTCGCCTTTCGGCTCAGCTCCCTCTTCACCACAACGGTCCGATACAGCGACCGCATCACTTCCGAAGCTGCACCGATCCGCCTGTCAATCTCCCGTTCCGTCCTTCCCTCACTCGTGAACAAGACCCCGAGATACTTGAACTCCTCCACTTGAGGCAAAGACTCCCCACCCACCCGGAGAGGGCAAGCCAACTTTTTCCGGTCGAGAACCATGGCCTCAGACTTAGAAGAGCTGATCTTCATCCCAGCCGCTTCACACTCGGCTGCAAACCGCCCCAGTGCACATTGCAGGTCCTGGTTCGATGAAGCCAACAGGACAACATCATCCGCAAACAGCAGAGATGAGATCCTGTGGTCCCCAAACCGGACCCCCTCCGGCCCCTGACTGCGCCTAGAAATTCTGTCCATAAACACAATGAACAGAACCGGTGACAAAGGGCAGCCCTGGCGGAGTCCAGCATGCACCGGGAACAGGTCTGACTTACTGCCGGCACTGCGAACACAGCTCCTGCTCCGGTGATACAGGGACCGGACAGCCCTTAGCAAAGGGCCCCAGACCCCATACTCCCAGAGCGTCCCCCACAGGACACCACGAGGGACACGGTCAAATGCCTTCTCCAAGTCCACAAAGCACATGTGGACTGGTTGGGCAAACTCCCATGAACCCTCGAGCACCCGATGGAGAGTGTAGAGCTGGTCCAGTGTTCCACGGCCAGGACGAAAACCACACTGCTCTTCCTGGATCTGAGGTTCGACTATCGGCCGGATTCTCCTCTCCAGTACCCTGGCATAGACCTTACCGAGAAGGCTGTGGAGTGTGATCCCCCTATAGTTGGAGCACCCCCTCCGGTCCCCCTTCTTATACAGAGGGACCACCACCCCGGTTTGCCAATCCAGAGGTATTGTCCCCGACCACCACGCGATGTTGAAGAGGCGTGTCAGCCAAGACAGCCCCACAACATCCAGAGACTTAAGGTACTCAGGACGGATCTCATCCAACCCCAGAGCCTTGCCACCAAGGAGCTTTCCAACCACCTCAGTGACTTCAGCCTGGGTGATGGATGAGTCCGCCTCCGAGTCCCCAGCCTCGGCCTCCTCCTCGGAAGACGTGACGGTGGGATTGAGGAGATCCTTAAAGTATTCCTTCCACCGCTGGACAACGTCC